CAAGTAAATATATTAATTTTTGGTATAAAAGATTGCAATTTAAAGAAAAATAAACCAAATTATTATACTGATACAATGTCTTTTTCTTATACCGATACAATGTCTTTTTCTGAGGACCTAAATGTTTCTGATGAAGAATTTAACCCATCTGATATAGAAACTAGTTCATTTGAGATTAATGAAAAAACTTCTGAATCTACAAGCTCTATTACAGCATTACTCCAAACAACTAATCACAAAGCTAATAATAAACCATCACCTGTGTAGAAGTTTATGTATGAAAAAGTAAATCCAGATGGAACTACCATTGTTGTATGTGACTTTAAGGACTGTCAACAAGAATATAGCTTCAAAACTTCCACAGGCGTTTTAGCAGATCATCTTAATAAACAGCATAATTGTAATATTGTTTTAAACCAAAAACGTAAACTCTTGTTTACCAAATCGTATAGTAAAAGTGATGTTCAATGAATAGAAGAATATACTATGTCTTTATTAAATTTTATTTTGGTGTTCAAGTTCTATTTGCAATGGTTGAAAGCCCTTGGTTTCGCAAAATGATAAGTACACTTGATTCACATTATATTTCACCAACACGTACCTATATAAAAGAACAAATCATGTCTCAGTTTCAAGCTCAAAGAGTACTCATTGCAGAAGATCTTGTCAATTTTAGTTATAAAATCGCACTTATTGCAGACATTTGGACTTTATATTCAAATCAATCATACCTTGGAGTAACTGCACATCTTATTAATGATAAATGAGAAATAAAATGATTTTTACTTGATCTTATTCATTTCGAATTTAACCATACAGGCATACGTATAAAAAAAAACTTAACCAACTTTGTAATGATATGAATATTAATAATAAGATTATTTCATTAACAATAGATAATCATGCTTTAATAATTTTGAGTGACAATCTATTAGAAAAAGCATGGAATGAATTTAAGTTTAAATATCATAGGTTAGTATTAAATTATTTTTTATATTTTTTTGTTTGCTTATCTATATATTAAATTTTTTTTAATTATCTACAATACTATTATAGATATGCAGCTCATATTCTTAATATTGCTGTTAGTCACGAAATACAACTACAAACAGAATTAATTAAAAAAGTTAGAAGTTTCATAACTAAAGTTCACCATTCTACTATTCTATATAATAATCTTCAGTATTTTTGCACAATAAATAAAAGGCAATATATTATACCAAAAATTAATATATTTACTTGATAGAACAGTATTTACGATATGTTATATCAATTTAAGTTAATGCATGCTAAGCTTGATCTTCTTGTAATTAAGCATCAACTTGAAAATATGTTTCTTAATAAGAATAAATAGAAAAAAATTGATATTATTATTAGTTTTCTATATCCTATACTTCAAGCAACTGAGCTATTTTTATCAAGTTTGTATCCAACAATATCTGATATTCATTTATGTTTTAGAGAAATTTTTCAGCATCTTGATAAATTTATTGATGAAAAAACATTCAGAAGAAGAATATATAATTGCTGATTCTATATGACATAAATTAAATAAATATTGGGTTCATCTTGATGAATCTATTACTATTGTTGCAATCCTTGATCCATCTTCAAAACTTACAACATTTTTATATAGTGAAAAAAGAGATAAAGCTATTGCAAGTTTGCGCAATTTAATGATTCAATATATACCACAAGATTCTGCAGCAAATACTACTATTTTGGCTTCTAAAAATAAAAAAAGAGAGCTTTTTAAATTTTTATTAGATTAACAAATAGATGAACCATTAGAAAATGAGATTTGTACTTATCTTCACCTCCATGTTCTGAAGATCCTCTTAACTGGTGAGCATTAAATAGATGTCGGTTCTCTATTTTAGCAAAAATAGCTTATAATTATCTAGCTATTCAAGGAACTAGTGTTCCTTGTAAAGAAATGTTCTCTATAGCAGCAAAAACAATAACAAAAATTAGAAATCGTCTTTTTCCTGAAACAGCTCGTACTTTGCTTTGTATGAAAAGCTGGATGGAACAGAATATTTTTGAATAATATGTATTAGTTTTTCAAAAAAGTATATTCATATTCATATATTGTTTAGCGAACTTAAGAACATTATATAGCTTAAATAAATTTTTTAATTCAAAATTGCTACAATAATCTATATATATATATATCAATATTATATCTGTATAATAAACAGATATTGCATATTTGCATAACATTTATATATATATATTGATATACTAGTATATAATGATATGCTACAAATCATTTTATATATAGTCTGTTTTATGTTAATTAATTGGGTAGCTGTGTGATATAGTTACACTAAAACCAAGAATAGAAAGCTTTA